GAGCCGCCTCCCTCCCCGGCCGCCCAGGAAGGTTCGCGGGGAGACGGGTCGGCCCTGCTCTGCTCTGCACCGCTTTAGGGCGTTTGGATACTTCATGTCAGTTGCACTGTATTTTCAAACATTATGACCCAGGGGTCTTTAGTTGCTGCAGCTTACAATGATGCTGGTAGACATTCCGCGGACGAGTGACAGCAGCTGCCTCCTTAGCGCAGTAGGCAGCGCGTCAGTCTCATAATCTGAAGGTCCTGAGTTCGAACCTCAGAGGGGGCAGTGCCTTGTTTTTGATTGCCTTTTTCTTAAATCTTAACCTAAAAGACAATGAAGGGAGTTAACAAAAATCTTTCTTCTTTCTCTATTTTTTTCTGTAGAAAGTGTACACCATCACCTTAAAAAAATCCAATGAGGACAAACGGTAATTTGCTGTTTAACCCAACCATGTAATGTTTCGTTACAAAATAGTGATTTTCTTTAAGAATTAAATACTCCAGAATTCTTCCACTCCTTAAACACCACTTGTAGCTAGAGCTAGGAGACTTTTCATATGCCTTTGGGATATGCTTGGCAATTTATTTTTGTTACAAAAAACATCAGCGATAAGAAATACACTGGTTGAGAGGGAGAAGGGAGAAGTGGGAAACGTAGTATGATGTTCAACATTTATTAATGACTGGTTGTTTATTTTTTGTCATTATTCTGCAATTGTTTACCACCGGATCACTAATGACAGCCTACATGAAAAAGAAAAGAAAAGTGTCATTGGACCTCTTTTCGCTTCCAGTGTTATTGACTAGATCTCTCAGTCATCCAACTCTGCGGTGCAGGACGGTGTAAAAAGAAAAACAAGAAGTAAAGAAATGAGAAGTGATATTTCGAGTCAAGAGAAGTACCTGACTCAAAAATGAACGAGATTGATATTTAACATCCTGCTCTTTTTCTAAAAATATGTTCTTATTAATTTCAGAGAGGAAGAGAGGGAGAGAGAGATAGAAACATCAATGATGAGAGAGAATCATTGATTGGCTGCCTCCTGCAGGCCCTCTGCTGGGGATTGAGCCTGCAACCCTGGGCTTGTGCCCTGACCAGGAATCCAACCGTGACCTCCTGGTTCTTAGGTCAACGCTAATATCCTGCTCTTAACATCTTTATTTATTACGTGGGAAGCAGTGGAAAGATATTTGTTGATATTTACCACGCATTGTTCCAAATGTGTCCCTCCCTATCAATCTATTCTCTCTCCTCTTCAAACCCATACTTACAGACTCCATCAGCATGCTCAGGCTGGACATTTGCAAATCACACTTCCCAAACCTTTGCCGATTGGTTTTTATCTTAAGTTCCCTTAAAAGAGGAACTAGAGGGAGACTGGAATGCAGGAAAAGGGCTATTTTTATTTTATTTCTACTATTCTTGTCAATGTCCCTCCAACAATGGAAGTTGATTCCAAGCTCCGTTCTCTGTAAGGCCCCGCTCGGAAGTTCCAATTCTCCCCTGTTGTCCCCAGCCCTAGACACTTCCTGTGCTATTGTCTCAGGGTTACCAGTGTCCCCACTGAAATACCTGGTGTTGCTTCTTACCTAGACCTTGGCTGAGACACGGGCTGGGTGCACACGGCAGGAAATGCGTCTGTCTCATGGAGTTCGCTATATTTTAGTGGGAAATGGCAGACAATAAACTCTTTACTCAATATGAAAGATGTCACTCGGCGTCATTTGACACGTCTGGATTCGTTCCCATCCTGCAGGCTGCCCTCCGACCCTCTCTGCGGGGCCTCTCCCCCCTGCCGACCCAGCAGAGTGTCTGAGGGCTCCTTCCTCAGCGCCTGTGTTCTGCTCCGAAGGATCGTCCAATGGCCTCATTCAAACCAATGGCTTTGTTGCTCTCAGAGCTACCCCGTTAGTCCAGAGTTAGCCCCGGAGTCTCCTGAGCCCCCTGGCTGCAGGAAACCCGCGGTTGCACCTCCGATATCCCACACTCAGCCCTCACCTTCTGCATGCCTCCAGCCACTCTCGTCCTAGGGTTCCTCTCGTAGATCATCCCAGCAGCCCAGTCTTCCCAGCGCGGAGGCTGGGCATCCTCTTGCACCGCCTTCTAATGTAATTGCTGGACGCAGTCAGAGTGCGAGCCCTCCGGGCTGTTTCCTCTCACCTCCGTTCTTTATCGCCGGGTTTCCAGAGATCGCCTCCTGTCCGGTCTCCTCGCCACCTTCCTCCAGTTCATCCGCACGTGTGCCCGAGTGATCTTCCTAAAGTGCAAGGGCAATCGTGTCGCTTGTCTATTGAAAACCTTTAACACCTCACACTTTTAAGAAAACGTTCTACGTGTGAGGGCACACACACCTCCTGATCTGGTGTCTGCTCACCTCTCCTCTGACCTCACCTTGCTCTTCTCCATCCGCCCAGCACACAGGCCTGCTGAGGTGTCCCGGGTTGAGGTCACTCTCCGCCGGCAGTGATGGGAACACAGGAGCCACTCCTCTCCAACGCCCCAGCAGTGAACAACGCGGTCTTCGTTCCACTGGCCCTTTGTACTGCCCTTGCCTTAGATAAAACCATCTTTGGTTATTTCATGTGAAAATCAAAATCCGAACCCAATGGAGACTTCTCAGTGTAGCTGTATTACTTTGCTTGGGCTGCCATAACTCAATACCACAGACCTGGTGGCGTCAACAACAGGAATTTATTTCTCACGGTCTGGAGGTCACTCGTCCAAGACCCACGTCAGCAAGTGGATTTGCTCTGAGGACTTTCTCCTTGGCGTGCAGATGGCTGCTTCCTGCTGTGTCCTGGCACGGCCCTCCTCTGTGCGCGCCCCGCCCTGGTGTGTGTCCACATTTCCTCTTCTTCTCAGGACCTAGTCAGATGGCAGTAGGGCCACCCCAACTCTCCATTCTAAATCACCTCTAATCTTCAATTACAGTCACATTCTGAGATGCTGGGTTGGGGCTTCAACATATTAGCTGGAGAGGGGAGGTAATTCAGCCCATACATTTCCTTAAATTCCCCTCCCTCCCTTCCTTCCTTCCTCCCAACAACAGCTGTCAGGTCTGTCGTAGGAGATTTCCAGGGTCTTAGAGGTTCATGGATTTCTTTTCCTCTGATATTATCTTAGTCTCCTAATTCTCCCCCTCTTTATTCTGACTTAACTCCATTAAGAGGATTCTATTTTATTATATTTTAGTCTTTTAGCACCCCAATTCATTTTAAAATAATAGTATAAATGGACGTACTTGTACAATGTGCCAATGATTGTTCTAGGCACAACCATCTGAGGAAGAAATTGTTCATAATGATACAATCAAAATATAGTATTATTTAACTTTAATAATAATAGTAAAAATATCTGACATCTATTGAATTGTTACTATGTTCCAGGCACCATTCCAAGAACTCTGCTTGCATTATTTCCTTTAACTTCAAGACTCAGATCATGGGGTTGCATCAGTCCTTGGCTTTCTTGAGTCCTGGCATGGCAGGTGGACCATCACACCCTCCAGCGACCCTGACTCCTGGTCTTCATCCTTTTGTGTGATCCCGTCCCTGCTGTGTGAGCTGGATAAGACGACTAACTTTTAACCAACACAACATGGTGAATGTGCTTCCTGATCAGGTTTCGTAAGACTGTGATTTGTCTTGTGGGCAGATTGCTCTCTTGCCTTCTTGGCCTGTGCTCTCTGTGAAGCAAGCTGCTGGGTCCTGGAAAGAAGCCCACGTGGCAAGCAACTGGGCCACGTCCAGCCAGCACCCTGCTGGGTCCTCAGCTCAGGAGCCCTGGTGGAGCTAAATTCTGCCAACAGCCACATGAGCTTGAACATGAACCCTCCCAGAAATTCAGCTGCAGATGAGACCTTCGAGGGACCCTGAAGCAGAGGATCTAGTTGAGACAGGCTGGGCTTGGAAGTGGTAAGAGAACCAACGTGTGTTGTTTTAAATCGCTAAGTCTGACATTCTTTGTTACATAGCAGCAGACAACTTTACACACTTGGATTTCTAAATCTGACGGACAGCAGAGTCACGTCAGAGTCTTAATTAAAAATCGGATCCCCTGGCCTCCAGCTTAGAATATTCTGATTCAGTGGGTCTGAGGTGGGATCTACAAATCTGGATTTTTAACAGGGACCTCAAGAGATCTGATGTGATTGGCTGAGCGACACTCTGGACCCGGCCTCGCACCCGCTCCGCCTGCATCCACTTACCTCATGCTGACAGTTGCTGGGAGGAGGCTTCCCCCCAGAGTTTCCTTCTTTTTCATCGGATCCTCGGGCTCACGTGCGGGTGGGAACTAGCAGCGCGCAGCTCAGGCTTCCGCGAGGCAGAGCAAAGGCTCCGCGCTTTCCAGACTGATTATGAATGAGCTCTGGCTTTCCACAGACCCACGGAGGCCGTGAGGCGAACACAACATGCTGCATTGGAAACAACATGCTTCCAGAGAGGAAGGTATGACGCATGGAGATTCATTTTATTGAGAAGATAAGGAAAATAGACTGTGTTCTGGGTAAGAAAAGATATAAGTGCCATTTATTATTTATGTATTTATTTTTGTTGTAAAGGAAGAAAAAGGAAAGTAATGTTTCCTAAAATAAAATGCTTGTTTTCAAAATAAGAAGGCAAATGATAGGACAAAAACTAAAATGTATATGTAAGTTGCAGAAGGTTTGTGGAGGAGGGATATTAAGAAAATAATCCTATCTAATAATAGACAAACATGGTAATTGACCGTACCTTCGCTACGCCTCCTATTGGCTAATCAGCGTGATATGCAAATTAACCGCCAACAAAGATGGTGGCTAATTTGCATACTGCAGGCAGATCTCACTGCACCGCCCACCTAAGGCTGGGGCAGCGCGAACCCCAGCCACTGGCCGCCCCAGCGCGAGATCCAGGCCTGCTGTGGGCAGGGCAGGACAGGCAGGGCGGGCAGCAGCGCGATCCCCAGCCTCCGGCCGCCCCAGCGCGAGATCCAGGCCTGCTGGGGGCAGGGCAGGACAGGCAGGGCGGGCAGCAGCGTGATCCCGAGCCGCCGCCGCCCCAGCCCGGGATCCGGGCCTGCCATCTGGGACCGGGGGAGACGGGCAGACACCGTGGGATTAGGTGTGCCATCTGCCACCAGGGGAGCGGGCCTAAGCCAGCAGGTGGTTATCTCCCGAGGGGTCCCAGACTGTGAGAGGGCACAGGTTGGGCTGAGGGACCACCCCCCTGCCAGTGCACAAATTTTTGTGCACTGGGCTTCTAGTTTTATATAAAGGCAAGCTAAGATTGGAATGAATAACTAAGTCAATTACATCATATATATGTATGTATGTATGTATGTAAACTCTCATCAAATCTTTAACCATGGCCATTTTTAAGTCTTTTATTATTTACAAACAATTATTATTTTACTCTGATGCTCTGGGGAAAAATCATTTTTAGAAGTGTTTCATCTTCAAAGATTCATTAAAAAAAACCCAGAAAATACTCTAAAATGCAGGTTTCTGGTAAATTTAAAAACATAACACTGAACTGGCTAAAGATCTACAGACTCCAAGGAAAAACTGGACTCATAAAACTGTTAACAAAAAGATCAAGGTCAATAAGTATTAATCACATGGGACTACATGAGCTGATAAGAATTATTATATTTGTAACTTCTTATGTAAAATATTACTGGTTTTTTTATCTTTGTTTCCAAGATATAATATTTTTCTCCTAAGCTATTGATGACCTACAGCAATTTAGTAAATTATACCTTTGTAAGCAAAACTGAAACGCTGATCTTTTCTTTCCTACCGGATCCCTTCAAAATTTCAGATACTCTTAACTGATCCATTTGTGACCAAATTTAAAGGTGATGATGCTTTCACTCATGTTTCACAACTTTAAAACAAGCTCTTGCACCTAAACTGAACTGATCACACAACAGAGGATTTGAAAGAAAAAATAACCAGGAAGTGAAACAGACAACATGCGTGTGGACACTGACCCGGGTTCTGGACAAGCCTGTGTGATCTGACCCTGCACTCCTCCTCCCCCCTGCAGCTCCTCCCTGCCTCACAAACACTGCGAGAGGCCAGGCCCTGACTATGATACTTACTGTTTCCCTTTTCCCTTTAATTCCTGTCTGGGAAGATAACTCAGCATTGGGCATGGTCTTTGAACCTACTTTGCAGGTCAAAACATGCAACTAGTTGTGCGTATACTGAAGGATGTTCAATGCCTGGCCATGTCCACCCCAGTGAAGATACCAGATTTGGAAGATACCAGATTTTTCCTTGGGCAAGTATTGCAATGACCGCCACAGCAATAACCAATCATGAAAAACCTTTCAATTTCTTTGCATGAATTATTTTAGACAACAGAATTGCTCCTGACCATATCCTAGCTGAGCAAGGTGGGGTTTACTCTGTTGTTAATGCCTCTTATTGTACTCTGATAAAGTAAAGATGAGCCTAGATTAAATCTGAATATAAACCAAAAGCCAGTGTCTACTGGCACCTCATGGTTCTTTAATATCTTCAGGTATTGTCTGCCCTCAGGTATTGCCTCCTGATTCAGATCTACTCTTATAATTGGACTTGGCATTTTTTTTGTTATTATAAACATTTTGCTGTTATAAATAATTGTTTTGTTATAAATAATTGTTTTTGCAGAGCTTGATATTATGAAGACACCACCCGGATAATGCTTGCTCAACTTTTTAAGATGACCACTAAAGCCTACAAGACTTAATATGAGAAACCTCAAGAACCCATGAAAGGTATTTACCTTTAAAGAAAAATGACGGTAAAGCCTTCCTCTGTGCTGACGCTCTTGCTGCTCAGATGTGGCCTAAGGCTCCTACGCAGGACCTGACAGAACCCAACCCTGAAGGAGCCACCTGACAATGGAGAACCAAGGATGCTTTTACCAACCGATCAGTGTTTCTTTCAAAGGAAGATCTTGATCAAAAGAGGCAAATGTAAACATAATATAAATGCAGCCACTTTGAAATGGAGCTGGAGTTGCCATCCCAGAAGAACTGCCCTACACAGCTTATGCCTCAAATGTTTGGGATGTTGAAACAGGGAAAAATGACCATTTTGGACTGGGCCTAAAGCAACATTGTGCCCCAAAGAACTGTTTCGCAAGGATAACAAGAAAGCAGTTAATATGACTACCAAAGGAGGTAGTCATAATACGCTAAAAGTTAAAAACATTGTTTAGGAAGTCGGGGGAGGCGGGGGGTAAAGCTTAACCAAAGAACGTATATGCATATGTGCATAACCCATGGACACAGACAATAGTGTGGTGAAGGCCTGGGGGGCGGAGGAGAGGGGTGAAGAGGGTTATAAGGGGAGCAAAGGAGACATCTGTAATACTTTTAACAATAAAGATAAATAAAAAAATAAAATAAAATAAAAACACTAGAATTAGCATTACTATATTATATTATCCGATCTGAACCAATAGAAATGTCTTTCTTCTATTGATTTAACTATTCCCCTTTCCTTGCTCATCAATATCCCTTGACTTTGTCTCCTAATTGGAAACTATTTGGTCTTCTGCCTGAATCTGTGCTTCTTGAATTCTTTAAAATCTTAAATAAATGTTTGTTGCCGCTCACTTTGAAAGGCCTTTTATTTTTATGTTAGAAACCTATACACAAATGTTTATAGCAGTTGTATTAGTAGAAGTAAGAAACTGGAAACAACCTGACAAAAAAGACAGCTACTGAGAAGGGCTCCTGGTGGCTAACTGGGCTCCAATTTTAAAACCAGAGCCTCGCAGCCATTTCTACACAGCAGCCTCTCACACAAACTTCATTTCACAGAAGCCTCCAGCTGAACGGCCTGCCTGTACTGTGCCCTGCCAGCTGAGCCAGCCCTTATAAAAAAGTTCCTGGTATCCTATTTCAACCAATAGGACTGAGGCTTTCTCCATCCAGTCAGAGCTGTGCAGCTCTGGCTAGAGTGGCTCTATTCTGATCAATCAGGACAGTACCCTGTGGACCAATCAAACTGGGAGGATGTGGAGTCCTCATTTGCATGAGGATGGATCAACCAGGGAACAAGATCAGGTGCTTCTATCTATACTAGAGGCTTGGTGCACGGATTTGTGCACGGGTGGGGTCCCTCGGCCTGGCCTGCGCCCTCTGGCAATCTGAGACCCCTCAGGAGATGTCAGAGATCCAGTTTTGGCCCAATCCCTGCAGGCTAGGCTGAGGGACCACACCAGTGCACGATGGGGGCCAGGGAGGGCTTCAGGGAGTGTCTGGCCGGTCTTGCCCAGTCCCGATTGGCCTGACCCCAGCAGCAAGCTAACCTACTGGTTGGAGTGTCTGCCCCCTCGTGGTCAGTGCGTGTTATAGCGACTGGTCGAAGGGTCAAATGGTTGGATACATATTAGGCTTCTATTATATAGGATAAGCAAGCGCCCCTGTGACTTAGAGAGTGCATTTTATCTTTCTATGGAGACTGAAAACTTTGATTTCCTGGCTGTGCTGAAACACTGAACATGCCTCCCTGGAGCAGAGCAGACCTGTCTCACTGGAGAAGGGCTGGGTCCCAGGGCTGCCTGGCCCTAGGGCTGCCTCACTGCCATGCTATTTCTACAGACCTGCTGTATTACAATTGAGTTGTTTTGTACTAAAGTTTTCATCTTCACCACACCCCAAATTGGGGAATCCTGTTGGCATTGAATTGGCACCAAACATCAATTGACAAACCCAAATGTCCTTTATTGGGGGAAGGTTTAAACAAACTCTGGTAAATTCGTACTACAGACCAGTACACAGCAATAAAAAGGAATGGAGCATTGACACTGAGTAACTCAACAACCTAAATGTTTCACCAGACAATTACTATGAGTGCAAAAGCCTATCCCAATAGGTTACATATTGTATGGTCTTATTTATATAATACTAGAGGCCTGGTGCAAAAAATCTGTGCACATGGGGCGTGGGGGGGGGGGGGCCCCCCTCAGCCCAGCCTGCGCCTTCTTCTCACAGTCGAGCCCTCGAGGGATGTTCACCTGCTGCCCCCAGGGGGGAGCAGGCCTAAGCCGGCAGTCAGACATCCTTAGCACTGCCACGGAGGCGGGAGAGGCTCCTGCCATTGCCACTGTGCTTGCCAGCAATGAGCCCAGCTTCTGGCTGAGCAGCGCTCCCCCTGTGGGAGCACACTGACCACCAGGGGGCAGCTCCTGCGCTAAGCATCTGCCTCTTGGTGGTGAGTTCACATCATAGTGACTGGTCATTCTGCCATTTGGTCGATTTGCATATTAGCCTTTTATTATATAGTATTCTTAAAATTACAAAGCCATAGAAATGGAAAGAAGGTTAGTGTTTGTCAGATTGGGGGGGGGGGGCAGAAGGAAAGTGGAGTGGCTATAAAAGGGCAACATGAGAGATCGTCATGGTGATGAATTGTTGTGTATTTTGACTCTTATATTAACATCAGTATCCCAGTAGTGATGCTACTAAGTGTGTGGAAGCATGGGAGACTTGGTTGGAAAGTTTGTAAGGAAGAAATTCTGAAAAGGGAGGCTGGCTGAAGGTGGCCTGCCTCTGTGTCTCAGAATTCCAACTTAGGGAAGTTGGCTGAAGGCGGCAACTTCCTAATTGTTTCTTCACCTTTCCAAACAAGTCTGCGCATGTGCAGACCCTTGGTTGTTTACCAGAATCCTCATGCTTAATCTTTAGGTGTCCTTGCTTAAAGGACACTGCAGACACATGTGTCCCTCCAAGATTACTTACCCTACTGATTGTATCTAAAAGATAAACTTTATCTTAAACTGCTGCTACAATAAAAACCTGAAGAGGCAGGCAAATGAGGCTGTCTGGTTCCTTTAGCCAGGCAGTCCCTTAGCCCTCTCTTTCACAGCAAACGTTTGTCAGAGTTATCATTCATCCGTTGCTCAGGGTCTGCTGGTCAGCCTTGGCAACTAAACTCACGGGGTTTGCCACTTGGGGATACTCTGTTCAAGAACGAGATGTGGTTGTCATTGGGTAGCTTAATTTACTTGCAGCAAATAAAGGAGACAAGGGATTTACATCCAAAACTGTATCCGCAAGACATTCGCCAGTGGTACATAAGGGGTTAATATCCAAATTTTTTAAAGAACACATAGTACTCAACACCAAAAAAACAATCTAATTTTAAAAAATGGACAGAAGACCTGAATAGATACTTCTCCAAAAAAGGAAATACAGATGGCCAATAGACACATGAAAAGATGCTCAAAGTCATTAATCATCTGAGATGCAAATTAAAACAACAGAGATATCACCTCACACCTGTCAGAATGGCTACCAGCAATAAATCAACAAATGACAAGTGCTGGCAAGGATGTGTAGAAAGGGAACCCTAGTTCACTGGTGGTGGGAATTGAGGACGAAAGGGGCCACATGCTAACCTAACGAGCTCAGGGAAGGCCTGCATGGCAGTCTTGAAAAACTCAGAGACCTAAAGTAACCACAAAAGATGGTCTGAAATTAAACTTCAACTAAAAGCAGTTATGGTGGGTAGTCACCTCCTAGCCGGTATCTTCCCTGACAAAGTCAATCTTTACCTTAACTGAGCTTATTGTCTTTTTGCATCTAGGATAACATATCATTGAAATGTCAGGGTAACTTGTAACTTCCCTTTTTCCCCAGACCCTTCAGGGCACAACCAAATGCCCCGGGCGCCGGGACAGAGACCACAAAGTCCTTCATTGTTATTGTTATCATGCTAATTGTTGGCTGTTGACTATCCTGTACCCACCTAAGTATGTGTCTGTCATTTTACTCATTATCCAATCCCAGGGTGTCCCCACTTTGCTTTCTCCTGCCTCCCTAATCTATCACCAATGGATTTCATGTAACCCGTATACATTTCCTCCTTTGATTGTAATGTATAAAATAAGGTGAAAAACCACCATTCTCTAGAGCATTATCTCAATCTGTTGAGATTCTGCTTCCTGGCAATTGTGGACAGTTTGGCTCAAGTAAACTCACAAAATTTTTTTACAGGTTTGGATGTTTTTACATTAATAGAATGCAGACTGGTGCAGCCTCTGTGGTCTTAAAAAATTAAATATGAAACTTCCATTTGCCCAGTGACCCCACTTCTAGGAATATACCCTAAGAAACCTGAAACACCAATCAGAAAGAATGTGTGCACCCCTATGTTCATAGCAGCACAGTTTACAATAGCTAAGATCTGTAAACAGCCCATGTGCCCAACAGCTGATGAGTGGATAAAAAAGTTGTGGTACATTTATACCATGGAACACCATGTAGCTGTAAAAAAGGATCTCTCATTATTAGCAACAGCATGGATGGACCTGGAGAGCATTGAAACGGGAATTTTAGGGGTAAACTAGGACAGGTTTAGGAAATTTTAGAAATTTTGGAAATTAAGGGGACCATAGAGGAAGCACAAGGCTGCAGAGCAGCAGAAGGTATATTTCCATACAATAAGGAAACTGAAAAGCTGCTGACAGGTACATTTTCATAGAATGAAGGAGCTGGGAACAACAGAAGGTCTATATTTACAAAATAAAGAGAAGGAAGCCCTTTATCCAGAAGGAGAAGAAGGAAGCCCAGAAGGAATAGGAAAACAATAAGGAAGGAGGGGGGAGAACTTCACATGTCCCTTGTGAGGTTCAACCTTTGAGCCCAGGAGTAACTATAGTAACCAGTTTAGGGAAACAGTGAGCAATCAGAGGGGATGTGAGGGCACCAGGATCTGCAGCCTTTATAAGCCGCAGGGAAAAGGAACTCAGTGGGACCCTTTCCCCCGCCCCACATGGGAGTCCGTTCTGTGGGACGCTTTCCCTCTCCCCATGTGGGAGTCTGTACTTGTTCTTCAATAAATCTTCACCTTTGCTATACCACTTTCTGTCCATGGATTCATTCTTCGATTCTGGTGGACAAAGAATCCGGGTTCCAGTCCAAAAATTCTATTTCAGTGTTATGCTAAGTGAAAGAAGAACAAAATAGATCCAGAGACATAGAAGCATGGAACAGATTGAAGAACATCAGAGGGAAGATGGTGGTGGGTGGATGGGTGGGAAGAGATTAACTAAAGAACTTGTATGCATATATGCATAACTCATGGACCCAGATAATAGGGTGTGAAGGCCCCATGGTTAAACTCCCAGATAACTCCCATTAGAGGGGACAATTTGCATACTATGATTTTATTATATAGGATATGTATAGCCCATGGACACAGACAATAGTGTGGTGAAGGCCTGGAATGGGCAGGTGCAGGGTGGAGGGGGGTCAATGGGAAAAAAAACTCCACAAAGGGGACAGCTGTAATGCTTTCAAAATTAAAGATAAAAATAAATAAATAAATACATAAATAACAAGTGTTGGCAAGGATGTGGAGAAAAGGGAACCTTCATGCATTGTTGGTGGGAATGCAGACTGGTGCAGCCACTATAGAAAACAGTGTGGAGGTTCCTCAAAAAATTAAATATGGCCCTGGCCGGTTTGGCTCGGTGAGTAGAGCATTGGCCTGTGGACTGAAGGGTCCTGGGTTCGATTCCAGCCGGGGGCACATGCCTGCGTTGCAGGCTCAGTCCCCAGTGTGGGGCATGCAGGAGGCAGCAGATCAATGGTTCTCTCTCATCAT